GATGAACACTATTAACAGCAATGATTATATGTTGCAATCAAACTTTGCAAGCAAAATATGGTAGTTCTGTATGTTGTTTCAGGGTTGGACTACATAGCAATGTTTCCAGAAACATTGCAGAATTTTTTGAAAACTTTTGGAGGTTTTTTTGGAAAGTTTCCAGAAATTTAGCGGACATTTTCTGCCCCTTTGCAACTCTAAAACATAGTAAATATATTGTCTCTATTAGTGAGTTTCTAAATGTCCTTTCATGTGAAATATGTTTCTTTAGTCATGGTTAAAATGATTTCCCAAGGCACATGTCATGCACTGGTTGGTTATGCAAGATGACGTGAGGCTAGTTAAAGGGATAAATCTTGGAAGACAAATGCATATAGGGTCAGTAATCTGTCGCAGTGGGTGAGATATGGGACAGAAGTTGGCATGTCCCCCATCAGCGCTGTTATGTAATCCATCTGTGCTGCCACTGCGGGCGATTGGCACAGCCTTTAAGAGAACGGCAGCAGGGTGACCCTCACCAGTCCCCTGACAGCCACAGCTCTACCCCAATCCCCTTCTCAATCTGTCTGGCCTCTGCAGTCTTTCACCTTCAAATGACCTGGAACAAACACACACGCTGAGATTCAGAGACATTATGAACTTGTTTTGATGTCCAACGATATTTCAGGAGGAACACTGGACATGACGGTGACTGTGTTGTTCTTTAAAAGTGATGTTTTAGCATCACTGTTCACAGAGGACATGTTCTTGCCTTCACATTCTTACTTGTGTCAGAATTTGTAAGCAAAATAGGTTGTGAATGTTATTTGACTTTTAAAACATGTTGTGAGACCCCATAAATGCTTGTTGAAAACTGTATGAGCAGTAACTAGGAATATTGTTTTATACATGCTAAAGCACCCTAGCAACTCTATTGCAACTATCTACCAACCACCCAGAACACCCTTGAAAATGCATTACAATGATCTATCAATCAAAACATCTTTGCAAACTCCATAGCAACACCCTGGCAACCATACAAACCTAGCAAACGCATAGCAACATGTTAACAGTCCCCCAGACTGCCTTAACAATTGCATAGCAACATTCTAGCAGTGACATCACCCAGAATACTCTAGCAACTGCATAGCAACACCCTGGCAACCACCATCCTAACAATGACATAGTAACACATTACCAGTCCCACAGAATGCCTTAGCAACTGCATAGCAATATTCTAGCAACTGGACCCTAGCAACTGTATATCAATATTCTAACATTTACTTAATAATGTATAGCAATGACCTAGCAATCACTCAGAACACCCTAGGAACTGCTTATGCTCACATCCACTTAACAACTGCATAGAACAGCCTAGCTACCATTCAGGCTAGAACACCATAGCAAGTGCATAGCAATGACCTAGTAACCACCCAGGCCAGAACACCCTAGCAACTGCATAGCAATGACCTAGCAACCACCCAGGCCAGAACACCCTAGAAACGGCATAGCAACAACCTAGCAACCATCCAACCACCTAGAACACCCTAGCAACTTCATAGCAACAACCTAGCAACCAGGGCAGAACACCATAGCAACTGCATAGCAACAAACTAACAACCACCCAGAGCACCCTAGCAACTGCATAGCAACAACCTATCAACCATCCAGGCCAGAACACCCTAGCAACTGCATAGCAACCACCCAGAACACCCTAGCAACTGCATCGCAATGACCTAGCAACCACCCAGACCAGAACACCCTAGAAAATGCATAGCAACAACCTAGCAACCGTCCAACCACCTAGAACACAGACACCTCACATGCTAGTTGAAGACTGTATAAGCAGTAACTAGAGGAATATGATGATTATACACACTAAAGCAGAGAGCTGAGCAGATGATTCATCTGTCAGAGAGCTGATAGTGGACGTCAATGCAGAGCTGAAACTGGCACATAATGGTCTGTGACGCACATCTCACTGGGCACTGGCCTTTCCTCCTTCCTTTGCGTTTGGAAGAGTGCTTTACCTGCTGATCCTGTTTATCTGCAGAAACTCCATCAACCACAATTTAGACAAGACAGTGCAGTTTCTCTGATGAGCAGCACATCTAAGAGCACATCTCACTAA